GCAGCAGCAGCAGCCTTTTCTTTCACAAATGCATTCATACAGTGCCAGCCAGCAAAATTGTTTCTGAATGTACAAAACTCCTCTGTGGAAATTGAATGGACTAGTTCAGTACTGAAGCCATGAAGGGCACTCTGTCACCAACTTGAAACAAATAAAACTAATTCATAGTAGTAGCTGCATGCCATATTTTAATAGCATTAATATATTAATAAAATATCAATAACCTTATTAAATCAGTATGGAGATAATGTATTACATTTTTAAGCAAAGAACATGATTTAGCTGCTTATGAAATTGAGACTAAAACCTATTCTCTACATCTTTTGTATATCATGATTTTTAAACTCTTCCAGGAAAAAGCTGAAGACTTCAATGAGTTCCTTCTTGAGGGAAGGTGTAGCCTCTCTTACTTTTAACAAAGGAGCAATATAACCTTAATGAACAAACTATTAGACTGCTAACTTTAACAACAGCTACATTCAATTTAAGCCCTGCCCTTCTTGAGGCCCTGGAGAGGACAGCCATCTCTTGACTCAAATTGTAGAAAAAACTGATTTAGTTCCTATTCAAATCTGCATAATGGAATGAAAATGCTTCGATCATGCTAACACAGGGGACGTGGTCTGTGACACTGCCTTTTTTTTAATCTAGAAAAATAATAAACATTGACAGAGTCTTCTTCAAAGACAATCTCCTGGCTATCTCTAATGGTCATAGCAATTCTGTTATCTTCCAAACTGGACCAAAACCCTTTGAGACCACCAAGACTTTTCACAGGCATGTTTTGTTTTTGACTCCAACCCACAGCAACCACTCACTCAGAACAATTATTTGCCAAGCATCCGTAGTGTTCCCTCAACTTAAATAAACTGTTGAACACACAATTTGATTGAGGCCTGCTGTTGTTCCTTGTCTCTCTGGCTGACCCTATGCTGCTGTCCAATCATCACAAAAGAGACTCAATCTCCATGATACTACAACTCACCCAATCTATTGTAACTGGAGTGACCAACTGTGGTCTAATGTTTGGGGGGAGGGAAATAAAAGAACAGCATGGGTATCAAAACTAAAAAACTAATTTCTATAAAGAGAGTTGAAAGGAGCAGGGAATATTAAGAACGGAGGGTTCTGCAACTACTTACAAATATCACTTTTTTTGTAGGAATAAATAATGGATATAAAAATTGTAAGACATTTCTTGAAGAACAGGTTCCCAAGCATGCTGAAGAACAGTCAAAACTACATTTGGCAGAATCAATTTCAGAACCACAAGAGAAAGTAACCAAAAAAAAACAAAAAAAAAAACCCATCCCAAACAAACATGGGGCTTCCTGGGTGTGGCAAACAGCCCCAGAGCCATGTAGTTCTAGGGCTGCTTCCTGCCCAGCAAGGCACGGGGCAGGGCACCAAAAGGACAGAGATGGGACAGGATGGATAGGCAGATAGAGGAAGTAGGAAGCACTCCCTTACTTTACTAGGCTTGGGGCTGAGAGGAATCAAACCCAGAATGGCTTGGCTTGGGAGGGGTACTCTCAGTTAATTCTCAGTTTCTCAGTTAATGATAGCAAGAAGGCATGCCTGAATTGCAATCACTAAGCAATGAAGGCACACAACTTCCTGCTTTACAACTACATCATTTAGATTTGATGGCTTAATGATGAAGACTTCTAACTCTACATGTAGGAAAAAGTATGTTATTTACATTACATATAACTTTAATAATATGTGTTATTTTTTATAATATTTGTGGGGCATATTATTCATTTAATCCATTCTTAGAAACTGAAAGGGAAAATAAATAAATACACACACACACACACACACACACACACACACGAGAAATCTTCCATGACAGAATGTTTTTCCTTGCTTTTAGCAATGAAGTCTACTTGCTTAAGATAGCTATAATCCAGAGATTTGTTTGAAATGTTTAACTGTTAAAAGATCCAGATCTCAAAGTTATGTACTGAACACACCCATGAAGGATTTTGTTACTATTGTTACTGAACACAGGCTGATCTTGGAGCAGTCACCTTTTTCTATTGTATGTTCTGATTGGCAGTATTGGAGTTACAGGTCCAAGTAATAACATTTTCAGTTTTTTTTTAATTTAATAATTTATTTGGCAAAAGTTCCCTTAGCATCATGGTGTACAGTTTTAAAAAAAATAGGAAATAGATATCTAACTTGACACCAACCATTTCTTGTCACCCATCGATCTCAATTTAAAAAGCCAAATAAATAGAAAATGGTATGTTTAAAAACAAAGCTGAATATCATTTAGGTTCACTGGCACTTTAGAAAATAAAGACAATGGAAATATATGTTTGGAAACATGGCCATCTACCAAGAAAAATGACCAAGATAAGTTGGGTTAGTTGACAGTTTCCTGGAGAGCAAATATGGATAGAAAGGCACAAAATACTTTTATTCTCTAGAAAAAGGGTGTTTCTATCTGATCCATTTACCATAGCAGCCATTTCATGAAAAACCAAATCACTCCCAAATTACAGCTATTCTATGACACTACCCAAAAGATCCTTCCAAAGTTTCAGACATGTTCACCGCTGCAGAAAAAAATATCTAAGTTGTTGACATGGTTCTTCATGAATTACTAAACGTTTTAGGCAGAAAGTAAAATTATGCCTGGGCCATCCTGTTGTTTACAGAAGCAATTTCTGCTTATTGCACAAGAGAGTGGTAACTGAGCCTTCATTCCCACTGCTATTCCCAGTCAACCTCAAAGTGTGCTTCAGAAACTTTTCCTATCACCTTTTGAAGAAGATTGAGGATGCACAACAAACTGCATAAAGAAAAACAGGGCAAATCCTTTTGCAAAAGCAAAAGGAGATTTGTACAAAAGTGAGCTGCTGGATTCAAGGGTGGTTAAGCACACATGTAGTGCAGCCACTGCTAATTCTGAATAAATAACCCTCTTTGCCACACCTCAGGAACTTGTATTTTGTTTCCGGAGTACCCACCAACTCCCAAGAGTCCCGTTTTCAGGGAGTAGAAAGATTGCAGGAATATTCTGCTCACAGAACAGAATTTAGAATAAATCAATAATCATATAACACTTTGCTAAAATAATATCATATATAGTATGTTTCTTCTTTGTGAATTATATATTCCTAGGCCTTTTTAAAAAGCTAGACTAGATGTTACAATTTGAGGAGCTAAATTATAAAAGCTAGCACACACTGATATAATACAGTCTAAGAAAATCTGTGCAGTATGCCGAAACTAAATCTCAGGTTGAAATGTTTATTCTTAATGATGACCGAAATTACTATACAAAATACCATACATTGCCATATAACAGAGCTTAAATTAACAGGGAAAATAAAATATATTTATTATATTCAGTTTATATGAGCAATATATGCTGTGTGTGTGTGTGTGTGTGTGTGTGTGTGTCTGGGGGAGTCAGCTGGTGGAGACTAGGAAATATGCCTTTTCTGCTGTAGTGCCTGCCCTCTACAGCATTCATCCTTCGGAAATTAGTATGACGTCAACCCTGTTGGCCTTTTGTAAGGCCTTGAAGACCTGATTATATGCCCAGGCCTGGGGCTCCATTTTGTTAATAACAATAGTACTAGCAAGGGCCCTGTTTCCTAATTTTGTTATGGATTATAGATTATAATTTTCTATATGTAATTTTATAATTTTCTTTGCTGTATATATTTACTTGTTTTTAAAATATGTTTTAATTGGCTTTATAATTGTCCACTGCCCAGAGGCATGTGTTTAAGATGGGCAGCTGTATAAATTGAATAAATATATTGTAAAAAAATAAATAAAAAATATTAAGATTTTTATGCACAAATTAAATGAATACTTGCTTTTAGGTGTTTCATACTTACCTCGTATCTTCTGTGGTTTTCTTGCTAATAATATGCAAACCTAATTTTAAGTTTTTATTTGTAAAACAGTAACTTATTCAGACAGCAAATCTTATAAAACACTCAGGCAACCGTCATTAAATACATTTCCTTTCCCTGTGAAAATACCATATTTTGAATTAAGATGAGGATGAGAACTAAAATTTGTGTCTTTTTAATGACATGTTGGTGGAAAGACAGACAGAATGCAGATAATCCTCAATTTATGACAATTGGGACTGGAATCTCAATGTTGAGCGAATTACATGGCGGGCTATGGTGTGGGGAGTTGGGAAGAATTTCTCAGTGGCAGCAGCAGCGCTAGGGCTAAAGCCAAGATCTGAGGGTGGTGGCACTGGCTGAGACTGCTGAAGGCCCAGGGCCTCTACTTCAAGCCCAGCCTTGGCCTTGCTGGGAAGGGTGACCTAAATTGGGGAGAGGAGAATAGGTAGGTGGAGATAGCTGCAGTGCTCCTGTGGTTATAAGTCTGAGCAGGCTGCCAAGCACCTGAATTTTTATCTTGTTACTATATGGGAACTGAAACTTCAAACACTGGTCTCTTCATTCAGCGCCATCATAATTTCAGTTGCTAAATGAATGGTCATAAATCAAGGATTAACTGTAAAGGAAAAACCAAGACTATCCCACATTTGTTTTCATAACAGACTTTATCACTGTCTCCAAATACTGTTCTCTCTGGATTGGAAATGTTAATAGCTTAAATTATAATTTTACAGTTATCAGTCCAAAAGTATAGTGTGCCTTTATTTTCCTCATTTATTGCATCAGTATAACATTTGTAATCTTTTTATTGCAGATGCATATTAGGTTCATTGCAATGTGCTCTTCTTTTCTAAGGTTACAAACTGTGGACCTATTCCAGGAAGACTATACTTCTTTATAAATAGGTGTAGGGCTGTGGTGTGAATGATATTCTGCTATTGGTACCTTTGTAAACATGATTTACAAAGGTACCAATATATTTTATAGCAGTCATTATCCTTACTGTTTTATTTTCCAACACACTAAAACTGTTTGACCCTTTATATTTACTCTTTCTATTATGATCTAATCTTCCTTGTAGCTACTTGGAATCACCCCCCACAAAAACATACTAACCTTTACTGGCTGAAGTTCTACAGCCTTCAAGATTTAACAGAATATCATCATCTTTGTCATCTGCGGCACTTCCCAGCAGCATCCAGCTCTCCACATTATCATTTTCAGAGGATATACTTGACACATCAATTGCATCATCACTGCTGGAGCTGTCCTCAGTTACTAAAACTCTATGAATCATGTGAACATCACCCTGGTTATTTAAGGTTGCCTTTTCATCAGCCCTTCTTGCTTTACTTGAATTTACTGCAATCTGATCCTCAGTTTTCAGGATAGGCTGGGAAGGGTGTTTAATAGATTTTTTGGCACAAGAATATGCAGTCTTATTTAATTTACGTAAAGTTGGAGACGCTGATACTGTTAGCTTCTGGAGTTTACTCTCATAAATGCTATCTTCATCAGGAGTATCAGACAATATTATGACATCGGAGCTATCCGAAATGTTAACATCACTATCTAAAATGACAATTAAGTTATTTCTCTGATCTTGTTCATTCTCTGATTTCTCTTTCTTCAAGGACTTAAATTCTTCTTGTCTTTTGAAATCCTTATTGTTATTTTCACTGACATCCCCAAGATCTTGTGCATAATGGATTTGACTGTAAAGATGAAATTCTACTTCACTATCAATGCTTGTTTCACTGGAAGACCCTTCAGAATAAGGGTCATCTTCAAATGCTTCTGCATCATCATATCCACTGAACATTGTGGTAAATATTTTATCTAAGGGAAAAAACAAAAGAAAAAAATGAATGAAGCTCAGCAAACCAATGTAGATATTTCATTAACACAGAGAACAAGCTTTACAGTGAACAAAACTTCAGTCCATCTATTCTAGGGTGCGTTTCTATGCATGTTTTGGGTAACACTGGCTCCCTCGGCCATGAAACGGAGATCAGCACCGTGTCCTAGAGTCAGGCACGATTGGACAGGAAACCTTCACCTTTATCTTTTCACTCAAAATCAAGCTCCAATGTGTTCAGTGGGTTTTATGCTTTTGAAAGAAAACTTTTAACAAGGCAAAAGGTTCCCTAAAATATAAGTGCATACCGCACTAAATAAAAATACCAATGCTATGTACTTGTGAGAAGTGTATTCCAAGGCTATGCAAAGTCTTTCAGAAGAGGGCCAAAAAGCTACTTGGCAACCAAGAATTCTGCCAGCTCTCTACTGCGCTGCATGCAGCGTGAAGAGAGATGAGACAAAGTGAGGATTCTTTTATCAATTTACCCAAAAGACCTGCTTGTCAAGAATGTTTTGACAGATACAAAAGAAATGTGGTTTGGAAAATAGAAAGAAGAGATAACTTATTGTACTCAGGGGCTGCAATTGTGCAGATACTCCAGGTTGAATAAATTCTGCCTCTCTAGTGAAGCCCATCACATACCAGATCCCATCCATTATTTCTTTTGCGACAGGCAATGACGGAAAATGTTCGACCCAAAAAAGGGTTCACTAATTTGAATGATTTAATAGGTCAATAGTTTTATAAAATAAAATCAACCAGTTTAAATATAAAATACTAACGTTATATTCATATTTCTGTTTATTGGTCCATTACTTTTAATGGATAAAAAAAAGAGAGAAAACAATTACATTGGCATAGGATGTAGGGAGAAAAAAACTGACGAGCTCAAATAAACAATTTCCCTTGAAGAAATCCAGGCCCCATGTTCTCTTGAGAGGAGGGAGAGACAGTAATAGTTCCGGCACATAATTGGAATCCATTCAGATGGTAACTAATATAAGCCCAGACAAGGAACAATAGAAGAAATACATGCCAAACAAATGAGAAAAAAATTCCAACTCTTTTCATCAAGCTCTCTGGAGATCACTAAGCTCTGACCTCACTGAGCATTTCAGCAATTTATAAATGTTGTTAAATATTTACACACCACTTTTCCAATTGATTAAAGTGGCTTACAACCAACAAACAAATTAAATAGTATCAAAAATGTGTAGCCTTGCAATTAATCCACTTAGCCTTTAAAAATATTTTTATGTTACACTGTACACATTTTTTTTTAAAAAAAGGCAGCAAATAGCAGCCAATTTATTTCTCAAAAGATTCCTGAGTTTTGAAACAGCCATTGTAAAAACTCTGTGTTAGGTCATGTGTTCCTGACAAAAGCTAAGCCAAAAACTCTCCCTATTTGTTTTATATTTATATTTAAATTCGAAATGACTCCCAGCAGTTTAATTCACAAAAATATAAAACAAAGTAAAACCTAAAATTTACAATAATACAATAGTTGCATTAGTGTCCATTAACCACCCAAAGAGGCTTTCCAATAGTCCTGTCATAATAACTTCTGGAAACCCAACATGGAAGGTATCAGCCTAATTTCCAAATTAGGCAATTGCATAATACTATACAGAGGCTGCAAATGAAAAACTTTGCCTGAAAACGCTTATTTCATTCACTTCACACACCTGAAGGAAGACTAAAAAATGCTAATGTTGAGCCAAATTGGGTAGGCTAAGTGAGACACTTCTATGCAGAGAAACCAGCCTTGCTAATAACCCAATGTCAAGTCATATAGGACTTTGAGGGTAAAAAACCAGCACTTTGAATCTGGGAAACTAATAATCAACGCTGCAACCATAAAGCAGGTATTATATGATTATAGTGGTTTTGACTTGTTAATACACAAGCAGCTATATTTTGTACCAGTTGTAACTTATCAACTAGTCTTCAGAGATAGCTCTATCTAGAGCACATAGCAGTAATTCAAATAATAGCAACAGCAATAGCACTTAGACTTATATACCACTCCATTGTGCTTTATAGCACTCCCTGAGCGATTTACAAATGTCAGCATATTGCCCCTAACAATCTGGGTCCTCATTGTACCGATCTCAGAAGAATGGAAGGCTTAGCCAACCTTGAGCCTATCCGGATCGGACTCCTGGCTGTGGGTAGAATTATCCTGTAATATTGCATTTTAACCACTGTGCCACCACAGCTCCTAATAAATACATGCTATGTATTTATATGACAAAATCACTATGAGAAAACCTTCCCAGTCCAAGTAAGGCCTCAATTTTGAAGTAGCCATAAGCAGGGTGGATTTGATTTAAATCAAGTCGATTTAAATCACGAGTAAAAAGGCTTGATTTAAATCAACTCAATTTAAATCATAATTTTTAAAGAGCAACGGTCATCTCTGTCCAGCAGCGGCTCTTCTTCTGACTCGCTGTTGACTCACCGATAGTCCCACTCAGTTTAAAGGGATGGCTGGTGATATGGCAGTGACACAACAAGGTGAGGGACGTGGCAGGCAGCAGATGAGTGGATGCCCGCTAACAGGTGCTGCCATTATGGATCTGAAATGACAGATGCTCTTTAAATATAAGGACTCATTCTTGCTGGTAGTTAGAATCTTTTAATATTATTATTTGCAAACAAAATGAAGGTTTCCTATTTAGAATAATAAGCTGTCAGGTTGGTAAAACAGTGATATCAGAACCGATTTTAGGTTAATAGGTTAATCACACATAGTTGGAGAACTACTCAAATTTCTTTTATTTAATTAAAACACTTAGAGCCTGCTGCAGATGCATCTCTCTTCAAACAATCATACAGTTTGTAGTGTACATAGACTTGCAAAACAATGGGATAATGGAATATTCCTGAACTTTGTTTTATGATTTATCTCATGGTTACTATGAAATTGTGTGAATGCATCGATGCAGTGCATGTTATCTCAGCTTGCAGAGCTTGGATTCATTGAATGAGTTTACCAAAAATGTAAATATTGCAGAATATATAGCCTCATGCTACATAATTAAGCTCCACTTCATGCTGAATAAACTAAATGATTAATGTATCTTAAATAGAAAACTATATTTAGATAGATTTTTACTCCAAAAGCATTTTATTAAAATAAACTTGATAAAAACATAAAAAAATCCAATTTAAATTTTAAAAAATCTGATTTTTTTGTTTTAAAAAACCATTAATTATTATCCACCTTGGCCGTAAATCAAGGAAGGGCACCAAATTGGACATAAGCTTTCAAATAAGTTCTACTCCTTCTGCCCAAGCAGTAACGTGTCTTGCATATGTTCAGCTTCAGCTTGTTTCATGTCATCCAAATCCAAACAGCCTCCCAATATCACTGTGAGATTTACCTAGCATCTCCAATTCACAGGGTTCAAATTATATGAAATGCTGTTATTATTTATCCTGCTCATTTTATATATTTTGTGCAACTCAAAGCAGTTGACATACCTAATTTTTTCATACCTCCTACTTTCCCCAAACTAATAACCATATAACATGGACTGGACTGGCCCAAAATCAACCAGCTGGATTTCATACATAAGAGAGGACAAGAACACCCAACCTCCTGCTCTTGAGGCTAGCAATTCACAGGACCACTACACAAACTGGCAATACCAAAATGTATTGTCCCTAGATTGATGGTATCTCATCCTGAACCAATGGACGACCTATATTAACTGCTAATAAATGTTTATAATCTTGGACCAAAGTAAGCCTTCTCTCATGAGGAGAAACAGTTCAGGTAATATGAGAGTCCCATAGAAAAAAAATGCTGGGATGTATGGTACAACCTGAGGTCTTCCACATTATCAAAATTACCATTTCCAATACTACATTCTGGCTGAAAATGATGGAATTTACATTTCAATAATATTCACAGGACTGCAAGTTACCCAGGTTTAAAGTCAATATTCTATATGGCAGTGGTGGCGAACCTATGGCACGCGTGCCAGAGGCGGCACTCAGAGCCCTCTCTGTGGGCACCCGTGCCGTTGCTCTAGCCCTGCCTCCCCCCACAGCCCTTTCCTCACCAGCAGCACCCCCGGAGAGTTGCCCCCGAGCGTGGCCCATGCAGAGCAGCACAGCCAAGGATATGGCAGCTGGGCAGCGGGGACGAGATTTTACCGTCATGCCCCGTTGTGTGTAGTTGATGCTGCGGGGCGTGGGCGGAGGGGGGCTGCCATGGTGCTGCTGGGCCGCCTGGGTGATCTGCGGCAGGCCATGGAGGCGGTGGGTGGCCCTTTGAGCAGGCACAGGGCATGGGGGATGGAGTGGTAGATTGGGCAGGGCTGGGTTTTGGGCACTCAGTCTCTAAAAGGTTTGCCATCACTGCTATATGGGATTTAAAAACCAAATGATAGCCAATAAAACATAAATGATGAAGAATACCTGCACTTTCAAATACCTCTCAGCACATGCACAGGAGGATTCTTGATCAGTTGAGATTTCATATAGCTTTCAATTACAACCCTGACTCAGGCTTTCAAGTTACAAGAGGACTGCAATGCAAGGACCAATTGGCAGGTTCATCCCTGGAAACAACTTAAATGGTGATTTATTCTCTGTCATTCACTAGTTGTAATATTTAAATGTGGATGTAGGACTTTAACAATGACTTGTTAGAGCTCTTACCACTGGAATTCATTTAAATATTGGGGAAACCCAACTCTGAAAGCTACAGTTTTATAAGAATATTAATCAGAGTTCTAATACAGTCCTGGAAGAATCCTACATAATTCTTTATAAAGTAGGGAAAGTTTACCTAGGATTAATGGGCATTTAATATTTCTGCTCAAAGATCATATTGAGCAGCAATTGACAGGTTTTCATTACCTAAAACAAATTTGGGTCTGAAACAGCACGTTGATGTAATTGTAAAAGACAGATGATTCTAATGTCAGTTTAGATCACAGGTGTCAAACTCACAACGTCATGTGACTTTTTTCCCATTGCTGTTGGCCGGCAGTTTGACACCCTCTAGTTTAGATTCTGTTAGCTATATACAAATTTGATCAAATTTCAAATCAGCAAAGATCCAAAAAAAGCACTGAAATAAGCTACCATTTAAATTCCTCTAGATTCAACTCTATTATATAATACATCATACTGAAGTGAATTGTTCCAATGTTCTAATTGGGATAAAAATTATTTTTTTCACCATTGTATTTTGAATCCCAATGGCATGGCTTGTTAGGTTCAAGCGTACATAGTTAGGTACTGACACAAAAACCCCTCTATGTACACTAATTCCTCAGAGCTATACATAATTGCATGATATAAGGCAAGTTCCTCTCTAGAGAACCAACAGAATTCTACCTGATTCTACTTAGTGTCTTTATTACTGCATTGACACTTAAATATTATTAATACTGCAGAACAAAAGGACTCATATATTTCAGGGAGGGAACAGCTTCCATACAACCTGATTTCTTTTTTTTCTTCTTTCTTTGCCAAGTTCTTCTGCATAGGTCATGACTCCCTTTGTTCATGAGGTGGCATAGGTCAAAAGAAAATTACCAGGTATGGCATTAGTAGACAATTCTTAAAAGCTGTGTATTTGTATAAAGCAAGGGTCCCCAACACCCATCTGTGGACCAGCACCAGTCCAAGGCATGCCAGAAACCAGTCCACGCAAACAAGCAAAGCCCCATCTGTGGGATGCAGGCAGCACATGAAACCACGCCCCCTCTCTCCACGGAACCGGTCCCTGGTGCTCAAAAGGTTGGGGACCTCTGGTGTAAAGCATGACTTCCCCAAGTAAATACCATCTCAAGCTTATATTTAAAGAAGGAAGGCTCGCAGTCAGAAGATAAAGAGCTACTTTATTTGTAGCTTGCCAACACTCAGCCTACAATAGTCCGTCTTGCCAAACCTTGTTCTTCTGGCAAGCAACATTATCTGACAAACATTTTAACACATTAATCATACCTTAGCAAATAGAGACAACCCTTCATATTATAACACACACACACACACACACACACACACACACCAAACTTGACACATACAAGACCTAGCACTATGACAAGTAGTTGGCTTGTTATCCAAAAGTTCACACACTTAATTTTCCACACACTGTACTAATTCATATGAGGTATTTCTAAGAAGAATTCCTTTCCTACAAAACTGATGACGAAAGCATGGTTTATTAACTCAAAGTTCTCAGATCAAGTCATACTTCCATATTGTACAAATACAGCAAGGCATCATTTGTGAATCAATGCTAAATCAAGCAAAGATTAAACTACACTACACCTCATTAAAGATTTGCAGGAACATTTTTAAAAATAAAGAAACCAGAGTTATCACAGTATAGATAAGAAGCATTTTGTTTCTTCCACTCATCTAAAATTAGTATCTATACAATACCAGAGAAATGATTTGATGTAGTGGTTAAAATATCAAGCTAGAAACCTGGAGACTGTGAATTCTATTTGCACCTTAGGCACAAAGGCAGTTGAGTGATTTTGATCCAGTCACTCTTTCTTGGCCTTAGGAAGGGGGCAATAAGAAAAAAAACTTGCCAAGGAAACTGCAGGGACTGGTCAATCCAATCACTAGGAGTCAACAACTGACTTGAAACCACATATATATACATACACACAATAAAATAAACAATACATATGAAGTTGTTTTATATAAAGGTAGGCCGTTGACATTTGTCTTCCCTATAGGTATCAGCTCTCCAAAATTTTAAACAGAAATCTCTTCAGTTTTACTTTATGTTATCAAGGTTTGAATCCATAATCTTTTGCAAATCTATTTAGCTAAGCATTAGTATTATTAAAACTATTACAGTTATTTGACAAAAGTAGAATGCAATTCCACTTTCCTAAATAAAATTTTAAAAAATCTGAAAATGGGGTAAGAAACCTAGTGCCTTATAGTTAATGTTTTTATTTTTCAGTTACAATTCCCTTAATTCCTGTTCATTTGTTATGCTGACTGGGGCTTATGAGAGATGTAATGCAAAATATCTGGAAAGTACCCTAGCTTTAAGGACAAAAAGATATGAAAAGAACCAAAGAAATAAGTTAACTTCTTTAACCTGACCAATTTTGTCCTTGTGGAATATTATTACTTCAATAATATAAAATACTATAAGGTGCTATCATGACTACTTATTAATAGCCTATTTCATAGATGAGCAAATCTATATTTAGTGAAAGCTGCATGCTCATAGTAACTGACTAGGATGGAATTTTAATAGACGTTTCCTCAAAATAAAAATGTAACACATCCAATGTATGTGAGCTTCTGAAATAAGCAAATATTAAATGTTTTTAGGTTATCTGATACCAGGGCAATAAAAAAAAAACAAAATTCCCACATTACCCATGTTTTATTTGCTGAGAAAAATGAAATAGGTAAACTATAGAAAAAAGAAAGCTCTCCTAACAGGACAGCAACATTATTCAAGTTTAGACACTTTATTTTCATTTCTCCAACAATGAATTAAAGGTAAGCTTATGCCAATTATCAGGAAAGAAAGGGAAGGAATAGGAAAGACACCAGCTTTGCTTCTTCCTGTATAGGACAGTACTGTAATCTTGAAGTTTCTATTATCACAACCATCCAAAGGCAGCAATGAGATTCTTCTATAAATATATCAGCACAGAATGTATGGGCTACACATATTTTTATTTCAATCATATTTCATCCATGAATTTAAGGTAGTACCCATATTTCTTTAACTTTTATTTTAGTATGACAGTTGGTGAATGGCCAAGATTAGCCAGTAAGCTTTCTCCCTTACTAACTACACTGAGGTCTCTTTGATATGCATAAGATGGCTTTGATAGCACTGCCTAGCATTATTTTGTTATTGGTTTCTTCAAGAAATTGGTTTCTTCTGTGCTATCAGAGAGAGGGAGAAGTCTATTTCTTAGAAACTGAAAAATAGGTTTATATTTTTTCCTATTTAAACTTTTAACTTCTCCAGCACTACTAGTGTGTATTTTCCCCAACTACCGGTATATACAAATTTTAAAACCGGCAAAGCTGAGAAGCCTTCAAACCTCATCAGGCCTTGCTTTTCTCTCATTGAGATATTCCTAGGCTGCCCCACAAGCAGAAAAGCAACCCCCATGATTCTGTTACAACAGGTTATTATAAAGTATTCTATCATTTAAGAATCAGCATGTCACTGTTTTGTTCTCTCTCCAATTTCTTCTCCCGTGTCCAGTCTTATTATGAAACTGTAATCCTAAAGACACACAGTCTCTTTTGCATTGATTAGGAAACCACCTTAGAACCCTTTCTGCCTAAACCCTTGAGATAAATAAATGGATAATCAATATACACAAATGCCTCATGATACGCAATGTAGCCTTCTGAGAAAACGATTTTGCAAAACAGGAGGAAAAAAAAATTAGGGACCATGTTCCTCCGATCCTTTCCTAAGAAACATCCTGTACACCCCGGAAATAACCCCAAAAGCACAAACGTGGCTCTGATGTTGTCTTTCCTTTCTGCTTTACGTCCTTCTGACCTGGTCACTGACCAAAGCATGAAGTTTTTTTAGGTGCGTAACCGCTCTAAAATGGGGAGGGGGAGAGGAACAAAAAGCCAGAACTCAGGCTAAGATGGGGAGGGGGGGGAAGAGACACGAATCGACGAATTCATGGCCTCCTTCGCCCACGTTACTCACTAGCGCTGCCTGCTGCAACCAGGAAACCCCTCGAGACCGGAACAGTCGCCACCAAAGACCCCTCCTCCCGCCTCTCACGTCGAACTGCGCTTCCGCCCGCCGAGAAAGGAAAAGGAGGAGGAGGCGCGGCTGATTAGGTAAGTGCTATTGCGCCTGCGCTTCAGGGGCATCACGCCGGCAAGGACGCAGGCGAAAGCACGCGCCGCTGCCACTTCGGTGTGAGGTCACGGGGCTGGCCGGGCGCCTGAGCACGTGCGCTTGGTTCCCCCCCCCCTTGTTAGAACGGAGTCCTTTGGATCCAGCCTTCCTCTACGTATCAAAGGAATTATGGTGTGTTTGTGTGTGTCTATATCAGTATAGTTGGAGGGCACCAGATTGTAACGGCTCTTTTTAATTGATGTTTGTGGATTCAGAACTCATAATTTGGGACTTTAAACAATCCAGCCCATGGCTCCAATTCAGCCTTCTTTAACCGGCTGGATCAAGATGATGAGTCTTGGTGCTCTGCTCTCTGATAGCACCATTAAGGACTCTGGAAATGTTCAAGCAGTTGTCCAAGTGTTACCTAGATGCTGTGGACTACAACTCCCATCCGGATAACTAGACGTTCTGGGGTTTGTAATCCAAAGGAAAGGGTATTCTCCCTCCCCCATTTTTTTTAGAAGATGGATACAGATTTATCCAAAAGGCCTTGGATCTGGAAAAAAAAAAATCAAATCCTTCCAGTATTGGTGGTTAAAACACATTTCCTTCATCGTTTGTAGATTCTTCTAGTAGTTTTGGAATAGGATTTTTTTTTTTAATTTGTTAATCTGAAAAAAAAAACGTTTTTTAGTACAACAAAACTGATGCAACCCTGGGGATTGCTGGTGGCTTGAGGGCATTGCCATATACTTTCACCCTTCTGAAATTTTTAACTTTGATTTTTACTTTTAACTTTTAAGTTCTAACTTATTCCTGTTTTTAATTTGTGGTTTTATTCAGAGTTTATATTTTATTATGTTGTAAACTTCCTAGAGTCATTTGGATGAGATAGGCAGTGCAGAAATTTAATAAATAAACAAATGAACATGATACATAAAAGTAGGCATATGATTTTAAAGCTGATGAGAGATGTAAATCAACTAAATTGGTTTTCTCCAATCTTGCACTCTCTTTTTTTATTGAAGTCTTAATTCCCAGATGAGTAACCTGTCTCTTCATTCCAAAGCCTGACAGTCAGTTTTGGTGATCATCTGTAATTTTCTTAGCTTACAGAATAAGAGCTGCAACCATGTGTAAATTTACAGTTCCAGTGATACAGAGTTTATGCGAGTAGACTGTTTGCATGAATAATATTTTGAGAAAGTGAGCTGGCAGCTATTTATCAGAGTGATGATTGCAACCTCATATAGTTATCTGCTGTGCACAGTTCAGAGAAAGTGAGTATGGCCAAATTCCATGCTTAAGCATCGTAAAGTTCTATGGAATGAATCCACAGGCTCCATCCAACAGAAAAAGGATTTCAGAATCTAATCACAGATTTTTCTGTGAAGTTAAAATGTCATTTCTGCTATTCCAAATTATTTCTGATGGTAGTCAGCCTTGACTTATTCTATATATTGTACAAAATTCCACTGTGATAAGAAAGCTTGATTTGCCTAATAGAGGTAAAAATACATTCCAAGGGGAGGGGGGAGGGAGTTCATAGAAGAATATATAAAAATTATGCAAATTTTTGTCAAAAAAAAAACACAAAAGCTTGTTTTTTGCCCACACACATTCCATATGTGATAACAAATGGCTCACTATCAATACTTCTGTTTCCCCAATTCTGAATCTAATTGAGAGTCTGCTGACAAAAGAATTTCTGTACGTTAACACTCATTAAATGGTTACTTGAGGTATCTCTTGGTCTCTGGGAAGGCACCGGCTAAGACTCTTTAGAAATTAAAGGTGAACTACTATACTAATGTATACCAACTATTAAAATATTAAATGATTGTACAATGAAGTTGAAGGAATTGATCAATATCACATTTCCTGTAGTAAAGGGAGAGGAAGAACAAGATATATTTAAGAGTAGCCCCACGGCGAGATAAGCAGCAAATAAATTTAAAAATGATATCTCTGTATCCCATTTTTGATACTGAGAATTGCATAGTAGTGGAAAAATTAATAGATCCTTTTTTTAGTCTAATATATCTAATGTATATAATAAAGCTAAAATGCCAGTTTGGTCTAATGGTTAAGGTAGTAGGCAAGAAAGCAGGATATTGTGAGTTCTAGTCCCACCTTAGCCATGAAAGCCAGCTGGGTAACTTTTGATCCAGTCACTTTCTCAGCCCAATCCACCTCACGGGAAAGTTATGGAAAAATAAGAAGAGGATAGGTTTGCTGCTTTGAGTTATTTGTAAAAATAACAAAGGTGGGATACAAATAAATAAACAGAAAAAAATGTAAAACTAAAAGGTTATATCAGGCACTGATAAAGGTATTGGCACCTTCTACTCATCTAATTCTGGTTTGCTTTTACATTCTTTTATTAAATAAGATTTTAAATAAATAAGGTGTCAGGACTAGCATCATCTTTATTTATGGGATGCCTTTAGGCTGTACGTAAGTCTTCACAGGCATTTCTGGAGGGGAAAAAAAAAAGATGTAACCCAGTGCTTGTTTTGAAGTATGCCAAATTACTAAAGACAATCTAAAGATTAAAGGCGTGGGGGTGAAGTAGGTGCTCTCATACGCAATGCTGCTGTTTCAGATAATGCTTAGCACTGTAAAAATTCTTTAATCAGTTGTCCATTTGGCCAAGATGACCAAGTAGTAGGGCCATGCTGATTTTTAAATGTGAACTGGCATTAGAAACTATAGAGGTTAAGATGTTGTGAAGAGTGTCAGGTTCAAGTCCGGTCTCACATAAGTTGTGGGTTATTTTAAGCCAGTCATTCATTCTTACCCCCAATATAAGGTTATTGGTATAAGGGGAAATGCGAGAAAGGAGCAAAACAATATCCCCTTAAGTTCCTGATACTCTTCATAGAGTGCTCTTCTTTATTATGTAGAAAAACATTTATTTTTCACACATATATATATATATATATATATATATATATATATATATATATATATATATATGAAAAGGCAAGCTTCAGAATGAAATTAAACCTAAATTTAACTGTCCAATTTATCTACATCTTAAAAGCTACATTATAGGATTATATTTTCTTTGGTTCTGTTTGCATCAGTAGCAAATGAACAACTGGCCTAGTTCATATGTAACAATAAATCATAGAGCAGATGATTAATCAGTTTTGTTTTAATATGATACAGAAACCAGCTTTTTTTGTTTTTTATAAACTGACCTGTGTCATACCTACTACTTGAACTACTGACCTCTTCTGTCCACTACTGCCTACTACTGACGCAGCACCTGACCACCTTTGTTAGACTGCTTACTGGAACGTTGACTCTTGTCTGGAATCAAAATATGGTTTGACTGTCTGCCACAGAGACAGAAGAATGGATCTCAATTAATGGCTTGTAACAACAGAGATTTATAAGAGGACCTGCTTACATTTCACTGAAGGGTAGGGTATGAAATTCTTCCTCAATTTGGATATTCAGGCTATTGGTTTCAATTTTGCTTCATGAATTTGAAGCAATATTCCATCTGCTCTATAGTTTGGAGCATGAGGACTCAGAGCAATATGTCATTTAATACCAAAGTCAATATATGGGTCTTCATTTAACTTAATTTCTGTCCTAAAAGATGTCTCTTCTTGATATGCCAATTGTCAAATTGTTTGCATTTTTAGCAAGTTAATTTTAAAGGATGCATGGCTTTGCCCTTTATAACACAAATAATGTAAATATTTCAAGATACTGTATTACACCGTGCCCAAACACTTTAGAACAGAATAGAGCTGGAAGGGACCTTGGAGGTCTTCTAGTCCAGCCCCCTGCTCAAGCAGGAGAACCTGTACCATCTCAGACAAGTAACTGTCCAGTCTCTTCTTGAAAACTTTAGTTCCTGTGTGGATTCTGCAGAGTTCATTCAGCTTCACTTTCCTTGGATTTAGCTCTCGCTTTATTGTATTTTATATGCTATATGCTTTTCAGACTTTGGTGGCTTTTATTTTTTAGCTTTTAGGCCTGCAGCCTTCATAGTTGCTAGAACAGTCAAGTGTGTCTGATTATATTCATTTTTGGTAAGTGTATATCAAGAAATTGTCTGGATACAGAAACATTCTCCAGATCTCGTAAAAATGTAGACATTACTCTTTGAAAAACTCAGGAATAATTAAAAAAATCTGTCATTGGTATAACAAGTGGCATGAAACCAGCATGATCTTAGTCTGACTAAATCAGTCAAAATCTTGCAACTAGCAGTAAAAGTACTTAAGAATGTGTAAATTGGGGAGAATTATAAGAGATAAGATAACCTTTATTGTCATTTTTTATTGTGAGCACACTGGCACACATTAAAAATGAAATTCTGTTGCCTGCTCTCAAAAGCGTACATGTACATAACACATATAAACATGCCATATACAACATATGTATATATCTGCACCCTTACATATAAATATTAATTACTGTCCATCTTGAATATATAATTGAATACATATTGCATTATTCCATAATTATCCACTATGGAAAGTTATGCTCTTCTCTATTTGTGGCTTTGTTCAGCTGTTTCAGGTGTACCTATAAGCAGTAGTGGGATTCAAATATGTGAACAGCCGGTTCTCTGTGTGGATGCTGCTTCTGGAAGTCCATTCTGGGCCTGGACAACAAAAAATTAGCTACCGGTTCTGCTGAAGTGGTGCAAACTGACTGAATTCCACCACTGCCTGCTATGGAATCCTTCCGTTGCGATGTACTTTTTGTTTGATAATTTCAGTCCTGCCTAATCAAATAATTATTTCTCATTCTATTTTGGAGAAGTGGGGCTAGAGATCTGACTGTTCGGGCTATATAGAACATGGCTCCTCCCTTAAACTTTATTCTTACTAGAAAACAGTTTAAGGTTTTGATTTCTATGCAAGACTCCCTGAACACTTTTTTCCCATACAGCATGCTAGATGTCTGTCAATCTAGAACACGGGAATCAAACTCGCCACATCATGTGACATGTCACGACGTATCACAACTTTTTGCATTGCC